TCCAGATTTAATTTCACCTGCTTATTCAACCCTAGCTTTTCCTCAAGTCTTCTTTTTCTCAGATTCTGTGCCGCCATAATGACAAGATCGAGATTATTGATTTTGTTGTTGTTGTTATCTAGGCTTGGGTGTGGGTGGCTGTAATGGGGCGGGGCTTGTTCCTTGCAATAATTTTGTTGCTCCATCTAAAACCAAAATTCATTTTCTCTGATTATTGTTATACAGAGCGGGATTGTGCCGAAATGGAAGAGAATACGATGAAGAGCATCAGTCACAACACTTCAGACGCCTCCCTCAGGCTAGTGAACGACACTACAGTACCGCCATTGAAGGAGGGGGACGTACTAATCAAAGTGAAACATGAATAGACTTGAAATGATGAATATTTTAAAATTTCATTCCAGGTTTCTGCTGCTGGAGTGAATCGTCTTGACTTGTTGCAAGTGAGGGGATTGTATCCACCTCCACCTGGAGAATCGGAAATATTAGGAGTAGAAGGTATCGAATCTGAAATTTATGTCATAATAATTATTGATAATCATCGTTTTTTTAGTTTCTGGTACAATAGTGTCTCTATCTCCATTGGCTGGGTCTAATTCAGGATTTAAGATTGGTGATCGAGTCATGGCTCTTATAGGTGGAGGTGGATATGCTGGTTAACTAACCATTAGCTAATAACTACTGGTTATGTTATTTTACTCGTAGAATATTGTACTGCTCCGTATCAGTGTGTGATGGCAATACCTCAGTCACTGAGTTTCGATAAAGCAGCCGCAATTCGTAAGTTTAAAATTTAATTCTTTTTGTTGCACTTTTGATTTTAAAGTAGCAGCCAATATGACTACAGAGAGTTCTGAATTACATAAATTCTTCTTTGTCATAAATATTAAAATCCTGCAATAAAATGTCTTTAATGCTGTACTTTAGCAGCTGTGGCTAAAGGGAGCTTCCTGATATCTAAAACTATCAATAAAATTAAAAATAATAATAGTAATTCAATCTATACTTTGATCTAATTTATTGTTCTATGACAGCTGAAGCATATTTGACTGCCTACCAAGGTTTAGTGTGGAATGGCGACCTACAGGATAATCAGACGGTACTGATACATGCTGTAAGCGGCTTATAATCACACAAAGGTCACAGTATTGCTTGATATTAGGGAGCAAGCTCAGTTGGATTAGCTGCTATTCAACTAGCTAGGGTACTACGAGAGGGTGTGGTTGTTATAGCCACTTCGAGGACAGAGGAGAAACTTGTGCAGTGTACAGAGAATGGAGCACATTTTGTCATTAATTCAAAAGAAAAAGACTTTAAGGAAGAAGTGATGAGAATCACCGAAGGAAAAGGTAGACAAAAATGTGAATAAAGTCAAAAAACTTTGTTACCTATAATTTTTCTCTCTTCTTGACTTTCCCTCCCTCCCTCCTCTCTCTCTCTTTTAATAGGTGTTGATGTAATTTTAGATTTCATAGGTGGATCATATTGGGATAATAACATAGCATCATTAGCTACTGACGGACACATTGTACTACTAGGAATGGTATTACTAATAATAATAATAATATTAGTATTTAATTGATGTATGTGTAGTTGGGTGGAGTAACCACACCCTCTCCAGTTAATCTCGGCCTCTTGCTCAAGAAGCGTTTGACAGTTAAAGGCTCAACTTTAAGGAGTAGGTCGTTACCATATAAGGAGAGGCTAGTATCAGAGGTAAAGAGCATCAAAATTTATACTTACAGTAATTTTAATTGGCTTAAAGTTTTTATAGAACGTAAATACAATGTACAAGAATGTGTCAGAGAAATTATAAAAATGGAGAATTCTCGCTAGTCATCTTTTTGGCAAAATTTGTCCTGAGACCTTGTACTATAGTACAGGGACTT